ATGGATGGATGGATGGATGGATGGATGGATGGATGGATGGATGGATGGATGGATGGATGGATGGATGGATGGATGGATGTCGACTTGTATCACACATGCTTCTTTTTCAGAATTTAATTTCAACTACTGCCTGGGAAAAAAGACAATCATTGGCCTTACATGCTGCCCAAGTGAATCTTTCCTCTCCAGGAATTACTGGAAATACTTCCAGTCTAAACTACTGAGAGGACTGAGCCACAGAACTATTCCCTGACAACTAATTCCTGAACACCTACTGTGCACCAGGTCCTGCTTTGTATGACAACATGCAGCAGAGAAGAGGTTCCCAGTGGAGCAAATGGCCACAGAATTGCTTCAATGTAATACTGTGACCCACTCACACCAAACAGAACAAGTACAGATGTGTGCATGTAAAATAAGCTATAAGTGACCTCCAACTGATGCTGAAGTGGTTACTACTTACATAACTATGCCAAAGAACAACTATTTTAAAATCGAGAATTTCATTTACTCACAGAAGGACACTGAAAGAGAGTAATCAGTTGGCACCAGGAAGCATCCATAGTTCCATGCTTAAGCAGGGAAGGTGACTGAAAGTCAAATTTCACTTTTAAAAAGTCAGAAGTCATTATCTCAGTCCTTCAACATCCTGTCCATTCTGATAAGTTAAAGAGAGCCAGCCAGGTGAGCACGTCATGCTTCTCTAGCACAGCCATGTCCCCACTGCCCACATGGCCCATCGCTGTGTTCACTGGTCCTAAAGGCCTGCTTCACACCTCCTGCTCTCGGCCTTCCAGTAGAGACACTTCGGCACCCAACTTCCAGGACAGCAATGCACAAACATCACATTTAGTAGATTCCCCCGTGGCCTGGGGGGCCAGGGTCTACAAGTACACAGAATCCGAATAAGCCACAGTAGGTCCCCACCCCTATGAGGGATACCTCTGCTCTTCTCTTTCCCCTTCCCACCACCACAGCCCCCCCACTCCCAACTGCCGCTGACCCACACATCTCCATCAGAAACAATAAGCCCTCCTGACCCACCTCTTCACCCACTAGGCAGCAGCCTCCCTGCAAGTCTCCCCATTCCACAGAAAGGCTGTGTCTGGGCTGCCCTGAGAGTCAGGGCTCATGGTCACCCCCACTGGACACCTGCCAGGTGGTAACCCACCTCCCCTCCTTCTGTATCCATTTCTTCACTCAGCCTCGCAGTCCACACTTGCTCTTCCTACACAATAGCTGTTCTGTCCCATCATCCCTGGGAAAAGCAGCTCTCTGACTTGCGCTTAAATGGCAGCTCATGTCATCGAGAAGTGATGCCTCTCCCTCAAGTAACTTTCCAATTGTATAGTAAGTATAATATGTGTTAAAAGAACTCCTTCTTGTAAAAGGCACTATTTTATATAAACTTTCATACTTTTTTTTTTTAAGATTTATTTATTTGTGTATACAGAACTGGGGTACAGGCCAGAGGCTCAGGGGCAGCGAGAGGCTTCACCAGAGACAGAGTGGGGAGCAAAACAGGCAGATCGATGAAGTACACTGCTGAGGGGAGCAGCGGGCGGGTCAGGAGAGGTCTGCTGCGCCATGTGGATCTCCTCCGGTGCAGGCAGGAATCGAACTAAAGCGGAAGTGGCTTTAGCTTCTCAGTGCTGTGCTTTAACCCGCTGCGCCACCAGGGAGGGTCCCATACATTGTTTTTAATTCTCCCACCATTATTATTGAGAAACGAGAATACCAAGCCACAACCATTATTATTGAGAAACGAGCAACACTTAAATGGCAACTTTAAGATACGATACCCTTCTCCTGGGCAAAACAACATTTTGATAATCTTTTTTGTTGTTAATCAAATTAAGCTAACTTTATGAAATAATTTCTGCTTATTATTTAATGCCTAA